GAATGCCTGGGAGCAGTAAAATGGACAGGAATCAACGGGGGAGCTGAGTAGAAGTAAGGCTTTGGGAGGGGGGAATGGTAAGTAGTTGGTGGTGTAATTTTAAACTGCTTTTAGAAACCTCAGAACGTAGTCTGTATAAGGAGCAAACCTGTGGCGGTCAGATGGACTCAGTGATCCAATGAATTTTTATAAATTTCTGGTTTCCATGAAGTAATGACAGTGAAGCCCTGGTTCAGGGATTCAAAAATTGCCATGCTCCTCTGCATTTCATTCTGAAAATTTTATTTTAACAGAGATTTGGCAGCGGTTGTAAGACTTTATTGACATGTGGAATTAAAGGATTAGCTGATAATCGTTCAGGGAGTCATTTGACTCTCCAGAGGAGATAGGTTGCTCAGTAGGAAAACTGGTTTAACTGAAATTATCTAAGCAAACTTGGTCACCTACAGAAATTAGCGTCTTCTAGGAAACTTGACATGTAACTGCAAACAGGTTTCTCCTGTACTGTTCCTAAGATTCCTGTTTTCTCTGGATAAGGAAATAAAGTGAGAAAGTATGAGCTTTTTTTTGTAAAATGGGAATAACTCTGACCAGTACAGTGATTAATTATTTTTTGCAAGTGTGGCTGTAAAATTCCATGCACTCACATGCTCCAACGGCGCTGAATACACTGACTTTATTTCTTTGACCAGTTATGCTTTTCAGTACACATTTGGAGTTACAGCGTTAAAGATCTGTGCTCTTACATCTAAACCAGAAAGCTTTGCTAAGACCAATTGAATTTAGGCTTTATGCCAGAAAATAGTCTGGCGGTTGATTGTTTTGAATCCTCAGATTACTCTCATGCTTACTGGTGCATAGCAGAGAAGATGCAAGCCTGTTTGAGGCCACTAAAGAAAAAAAACACCCTTTCCCCACACCCCTCCGGTTTTAGGTTTGTGAGTGCTCTGTACACAACTGCCCCACCTGACTTCTACACGTTATTTGCTCGTGTGTTCCCTTGATTGTAAGGGGCAGGGCTGCAGCATCGGTGTAACAAAAATGAAACCTTTTGGGTTTGAATCTGGTTGCCTTACCAGATGACTTACTCTGTGAGGCCCTATTTTCCTTTTTATTCACTGTATTGATACTTCCAGTGCTTGCTGAAGGCAGCTTAGAAATTTACCTTCAAGACCCTTTGACTTTAGGAATAAATTTACACAAATAAATAGAGAAAAATCTAGTCTTCAACATCTGTGAGCTTACTTTAATAGACTGCAAGACTTTGACCTTTTTCTGGCATTCGTATGACACCTCTGTTAGGCTCCTCAACATGAGATCTGTCTCCTAATCTCTTATTGAACCCTTTGGCAGATTTTTCTGGTCATAATATGTTTATGCTAAAATGAACAACTTAGCTGCTACTTCTTTCACGCAGGCTGGTAATTTGTAATAAAAATAAAGCCAGACTTTGTTTTTCATTATGTTCCAATATCAGGGTCTGGTCAAATATTTGATATGGACTAGATGCTGTAGGGCATGTTTTTGTGGTCTGTATGTATCTTATTCTGTACGCTGCAAAGCGCCCGCTAAATTAAGTCTCTTAATGTGAAACATTGCCACTCTCAGTGAAGCTGTAAATGTGGACGTTTGCCTGGATGTATTTCTTGTTTGCTTTATTCAGAATGAGGATGAAAACAGAGCCAGTGAAAGCAAGAAAACGAAACTGGAAGAAAAAGCTCCGTCAGGACACAAGACTTCTAGCAGTAGGGAGTGAGTATCTTGGCTGTGTTTTCAACGTTGAAGGCTCAGGGTGATCGAGGAGAAGATGGGTGCCCATCCTCCCCCCCTTCTCCCCCCCGCCCCCAAGTGTCTCCTCATTATTGATCAGTGGGTAAAATTTCATTGCTTCTTACCCTTCAGACAGATTTACTTCAGAGTTTCTACTAGTAGTTGGTGGAAATTAATTTCCATAACCAAAAACATTGGCCAAGGACAATTGTTTTACATAACAGAAGGTAACCCCTCATGTGAAGGGTTGGTGTATTACGGAATATATGCTTCCTGGTTTTTCTCTACTCTACAGTGGGGTTTGGTTTGGTTTTGGTTTAGACATCAGCTGTGCATCTAGCTTTTTGATCTCGCAAAATCTGTGCTTTTAAATTAACCCAATCTGGTAATTCTCCATTTAGTAAGTTTGTAAACTGAGAATAAATTACTTAACTGGCACTGTCTGGGAAGCTGATGGCATTGAAATTTGGATCCATGGATTTAGCCTCACATTTGCTTGATAGATTAGCTAAAGAAAAGTGTGAGTGACACAAAGGCAAAGTAGTACAGAATTAGCAAATCAATAACATTGTTCAATACTCTTTTACTTGTATGTTATTTCTGTAATTTTCATGCTTTTGGTAATAGCTGTTATGCTTTTATTTGATGTATTTCTTGGTCAGTGTTAATCCACAGGAAAGAGTAAGGTTTTTTCCGTTGCCTTTTAAAACTCTGCTACTTCAGATGAAGCAACTGAAAACCGGTATAATTATGTCATGGAAAATATTCCTGTAGAGTGAGTAATTGCCAAATTACAAATATGTGAGAAGCTGCAGCACAACAGATGCTAGAAATCTTGTTTGCCCATTCTGAATTAAACAGTGTCCTGCTATTTGTTAGGAAACGGATGTAGAATGAACGGATGCATTTCCATCTTGATTATGCTTTTTTCCCTATTATTTCTGCTATTTGCTTGATTGCCAGTGCAGTTATCTGCAGGACATTTAATTAAAATGAAACTGTGTGATTTTATAACAGTCATGTGTAGAAATGATTATTGTGGGAAGCCAAGAACAGCCAACAGTAGCCCTCAGCAGCCAAGGTAAGAGTGCACTGAAAGGCTACGCTGAGACAGCTTCCCAGTTTCCTGGGTTCCGGAGAACATTTATCTGGAGCATCTTTCTTCTGAGCTCTTGGGCTGAGTAGCCTGCAACAGACAGGCTGGCGCTAACATTGGCATTCATTTCTTACCTTGTAAGTGTTCAGGGTGTTTTTTTAAGAACTGTTGCAGGGATGTGGTTTTATGGTTAGAACTTGTCTACTGTGTTTTCAGGTCAGAACAAATAAAATGGTGAAAACGAGTTCATTCTGGCTTCATAGAAACCTAGTCACCGAGATGATTATTCTCTTTCTTTTCCTCCATGTCTGGTTACCTAGGTCTAACAACAAAAATCTTGTTTGTAAAGAAAAAAGTTGGGGTTTTTTTATTTACATTTTTTTAAAAAAAATTGTGGTGATATGTTTTTGGGGGTTTTTTTTTTGTTGTTGTTGTTTTTTAAGGAAAAAACCCCAAACCTGAATTCGTTCATTTTGTCCAGGTCTTCAAAGCCAAGTGCTGTTAAAGAGAAGGATTTACTGCCGTCTCCTGCTGCCCCAGTCCTGCAGAAAGATTCCAAGCAAGAGCACGGGTCCCGGAAGAGGACGGTCAGTCAGTCATCATCCTTGAAGTCCAGCAGCAACCTTAGCAAGGAGAGCAGCAGTGGCAGTAAAAGCAGCTCGTCTTCTAAGCAAAAGAAGACAGAGGGGAAGGGTTCTAGCAGCGCTAAAGAAACCAAGGTAAAGGGCTTATTCTGTAAATGCTTTAAGGCTGTTTCTTTGCTTTGCGGTTTGACGTGCTCAGTGTGAGCTGAACGCTCATTTGCAGTTCAAGTTAAAATGTAATTAGTTTTAGATACGCATTGGTTCATGTCGTAGTAGTACCTTAGAAGTCTATCGATTAGAAAATAACTTGGGAGAGATCATGGAATGCTGATGCTTATTCCTACAAAATTCTTATGTTAATTACTGAAATGTGTTTAGTCACCTTCTGATGACTGATGCTGCTTATTTATTGTTTAATCTGTTAATAAGAAATACCACTAGAAAGCTGTTTACACAACAGTAAATGGAGCAGCGAGGTTACTCTTGTCTCATTGGAGCAGATACAGATCTTGCTCTGATATTTTTTTAAGGAGAGCAGGAGCTTGATCCACGCTCAGCACTAGGATTCGAAGCTATAGCTCTCATTTTATGACATTGTGACCCCAGAGAGATTATTTTCACTCCAGCTCAGGAATGTACAGTGCTCTCCATGGCTGGAGTGGAGAAAACATGGTTGTAAAGATGGTGTAGACAATGTTTTTTAAGAGATTTAGGTTAGGAAGGTATTTAGATGGCAGAATTTAAAAAATACTGTAAGATGATGATGCTCTTAGGTTGCTAAATTGTAATGTGCTTTTTCATCAGTGTGTAAGTATGTATTACTGGATAGAAATTAGCCTGTGAGGACATCTGAGAGTGTATTGTTGAATACCCGTGACGAGCAGTTTCTATTGCATAGCCAGTTGTTGAGCGTGGTATGTTTAACTGGGAGGGATCTCACCTTTGCCTTCCGATTCCAACGTGTGCCGCAGGTGCCGGTGCGGCTGTTTCCAGGCGCTCTGCAGCAAAGCCCCAAAGCCTCCAAAGGCTGTGGAAACTCTGGAGTTTAAACAACTGCTAAACCTCAGTAGTTGGATTTGCAGTCTCTGAAAAGCTTAGAAGCAAAATGTAAAAATGTTCAGGAAGGATAATTGATTTGGGGAGGAGTAAAGCAGCAAATAGACATCAGCAATGGCAGAAAGTAACTTAGTCATCAGGGTGGAGTTAATGAATATCTGAACTGGGAGACACGCTGTATTACTTTGGATGCCAATACCATGAGATTTTAGAAGGCTGGCAGGGTTACGTGTATTGGTGGCTGTGTGAGACGCTTCCAGGAATTACAGATAGTGAATTTACCTTACAGGCCGAGGCTTTGCCCTTTCTTTATTCGTCAGCATAGAAATGTCCCTAAGCCAGTTGTTAATTCGCGAGATGTTCATCATTTTATACTTCAGATATGCTTAGTCATGCCTTTCTTCAAGTAGTATATACTCTTCCTGCATTGCACTGCATGTTTTATTATTGTTTCGACGTTACAATGGTAGATAGTTCACGGCTGTGCAAATCTGGTGCCTTGCAACTCCGGGATCCTTCTGCTTAGCAATAATCTGATAAATGTAGGTTGTGAAATACATCTATATAGATGGCCTTTGGTCATGATAAATCAAGAGAGCAGAAAACACATATGAAGCTGAGGAGTTGTTTTATACTGTTTAGCTACTAAAAATGGATTCACTTACGATTCACAGAATATTTCTAGTGTCCCATCTTTAGCCTGAAGTGTCGTGTTGAGCCATATATAATTTCGGGGAGCAAGGACAGTGTGTTGTGAAGACAGATAACTTTTCTCCCTGAAGATGATGCTTATTCTTCTGAAATATATATTTTTTTTCAAGGCAAAGACATTCAGCAGAGCTTATTGTTGATAGAAACAAGAAATCATAAAAATATTAATCATCTCTTGTTAGAGTGGAAAAACAGGACTTAGAAACAGTGACATGAGAGATTTGGGGAGGGATTTGCTGGACCCAGGTGCGTCTAGAAAGCCTCAGCTGCATTCTTACCTCTAATGGAGATCTCCTGGTGTATTAGAGTGAGGAGCTTGATGATAGCCTCTGTGCCTACCTCTGTGCCAGCATTCGGCAAAAGCCTCATGGAAGCTGTTACTGTCTGCGGTGAATGGCGGCTAAAGCGGGTGCAGAACTGACCTTACTGCATGGAATGCGGGGAGTCATGGGAGAAAGTTAACACCACAAGTGCTTTTCCTGAAGGCAGAGAAAACTTAACTGTTCTTTAAACTTACTATTTGGCAACAATTTTCCTTTCAGGAAAAGATTCTGAACAATTCATCAAACTGCCCTCCTGCGTCTGCGCAGTCTACGGAAAGTTCAAAGTCAAGAAGAGCAAAACTTGTTTTTGATGATAGGTAAGAACAGCAAAAGGTGCCTTTCCCTTTGTGGGGATGCGAACCTCAGAGCATAGCTCCCTGTGGAGAAGAGTCCTCGTTTTGCTTCACAAAAGATGTTAAGCTCACACTCCGGAGAGCTGCGCGCTGTTCCTGCAGCGCTGTGCTTGTCTGACTACTCCCTGTGCCCTTTACTTGGCAGAGAGCACAGTCCTTGAGAAGGAACCGTAGCCTGCCCTGCGCATTCCTACGGAGCATAAAAGGACCATGCAGTAGACTTAAAGAGCTCAGGTTGTTCTGTTTTTAAATGCTGATGGGTCCTTTTCACCTTACCAGGACACTGCTGCTACCTGTCTGCCCATTCGCCTCTCAGCAGAGCCCGCTTCCTCTCGAGTCGGGAGTTGTGGTCATTGATAGTAGAGAGGAGACTTTGTCTTTGAAATTCCAGATCCACAGGAGCAGGATTGGGATTTAATCCTGTGGGGTCAAAGAAAATATGTTGAAAAGAAAATAAAACAAATAGTTTACCGTCTTGTACAGACTTGAGGTTTCACTTGTACCAGTTCAAATCTCAGCACTTAAAGCATTTCTCTTCGTTGTTTAAATTCACTTTCCAGATAAAATTATGTTTATTCCAAATGTAAAAGTAACTTCCTGGTTAGAACTCTTTGGAAGTGGGCAAGCTAGCTGGTCTGTGTTTTTTTCCTGATAGTTATTCCTGAAAGGGGAAGAAAAAAGTTAAGTGAATTTGATGATTAGAGTACACTGTCAATCGTTTAGGACAAAATAGTTTACGGGGATTTGGTAATTATTCCAAGATAAAACAGGGCCAAGAAATTGAGATAAGATCAAACTTTCTAAAAAAATAAAATCTGAACGTGTATTGACGTATAGGAAGACACAATGAGAGCACCCTCCAAGGAACGGTAATTGTGCTTTGGAATGGCGTCGTGTTACAACCTTATGGTTATGACTGAGACGCTGTAGGGTTTCTTGGGCCTAGAGCTGATTGAACTGATTTTGTAGGTATAGAATCTTTTTAATATTAACTGTTGTTTTTTAATGATATCAGCTTCCTGGAAGTGGACTGTTTAAAATGTTGATTTCAAATATCTTTGATTCTTGGACAAGTAAGATAGGATGGATGGGAGAATTTATTTCAAATTTTAATCAACTCATAGGTAATATGTTAATATATTGAAATGTAAATTATTTCCTTCTGCTAATCTAGTTGTGAAGGTCATTTAACATGGATTGTATTGGGTGGCTAAGCAAAAGCAATTAACATCTGAATGCATCTTGATTATTTTGTATTATTATCATAATTTTAAAATATTTCACGCCCTCAGTAATGCCAGTCCTGGAGGCGCTGGATTAATTTGTCCTCAAACTTTGTGGGTTTTTTCCTTCCCCTGCCCTGTTGTTGGTCAAGTGTTTGGCTTGCTTGACCGTCAAATGCAATAAATTTAACCAAATCATAGCAACTTGCTTGAAACACTATTTTGAATTACCTGAAACTAGAGAACTAACTTTAAACTATTTAAGAATTTTATCATACTGTAACTAATCATAGTAGTTAACTATTTTAACAGCTTTTTTAACAGTTTTATCATAGTGTAGCTCCTGTACCTTGAGGTAGACAGAAAAAATATGAAATGTGGCAACATTAAGAAACTTCAGTCATAAAAGGAAATGCAGTATGGGTGGGGCTGAGTCCATAAATTTGTGTTCTCTGTTGCAGGACTTACTCAGCTGATCATTATTTACAAGAAGCAAAGAAGTTAAAACACAATGCAGATGCACTGGTAAGTAAATCTCCAATACTTATCCAACGTTTGCACACTGTAAGGGGGTTTGTTTACTGCTTTTGCCATTTTGCTGCCCTTCTGTAGTGGAGCTTTATTGTACTTCCTCTCTGGTTTTTGTCCTTAAAAGTTTTTTCCAATCTCCTCAGTCTGACAGGTTTGAGAAGGCTGTGCACTACCTAGATGCTGTAGTGTCCTTCATTGAGTGTGGGAATGCATTGGAGAAAAATGCTCAGGAATCCAAGTCCCCGTTCCCTATGTATTCAGAAACTGTGGAATTAATCAAGTAAGCATTGCAAAGCATATACAAAAGTCAAGTGGGTGGGAAAGAGGTCTGGAAATCAGAGCTTCTGGATTTAGTAAAGTTTCACCACCAACTTTTGAGAGCTCTTATCATTCTCCAATAAAACTGGATCGCTTACCAGTTCGTTCCAGTTGCTGAGGCTTAAAGTGTTTTTGTGAAGGTTGAGATGCTTTCTGCTAAGGCTCTTGAAGCCTCTCTACGACGCTTAACACGTGAGAAGCAAAATTATTCTGACCACTGCCTGGTCAGCATTTTGTTTAGGGTCTGAGAGAGTTCCTGAAATGGTGAAGACAGTTGAAATGAGACATTCATAAGAACGTCAAGTGTTTTGTTTGATAAATGATACTGTAACCTTTATTTTGTTGTTTACTTGATGTCTTTGTTTGTAGATACACTATGAAACTGAAAAATTACTTGGCACCGGATGCTACAGCTGCAGATAAAAGGCTAGCAGTGCTTTGGTATGTGTATTCTGAACTTAATACAGTGCACTGATTAATTTCCAATGTTTTATTGGCATGAAATGCTGTGTTACAGTGAGTTGTCAGGTGATTCTGGACCAGATATATGAGTTTTTCCACTTGGCTGTACGTAAAGATTAATGCTGTATATCCTATTACTGTAAATTGGGGCAGAGGGGATGTTGACAACGAGGGCCAAGTCTTTGAAATATTAAGGAAATTACTGGATTTGTACGGAGTAACAGCAGAAAGGATGGGGGTCGTTCCTATGTACTCATCCAGTGATAAGTCAAAATTTGGACTGGCTGTAAAGCTTTGTCACCAACCTCCTAGGTCGATGAAATGGCTGCAGCAGGAGCCTGCAGAGGACCAGAACCGGTTGGTGTCAGGTGGAAAAGAAGGGGGAGGCCATGGCAGGATGGATTGGACTCAGTATGTCCTGACACGAGCGAAAAGTAAATGAAACCCTTGTCTAGGAAGTAACTTCGTGTTGTCTTCTAAGCTGAGAACTGGAAACTGATTATATCGGCAAACCACTGAAAATTATAGTGTCAGCTTAAGGCACGCAGAGCTGGTTTTATTTCATTGAGAATTTCAAGTGCTTATGGATTGTTCGGTAGACCTACAACTTGAGAGTTGGGCAGAGAAAGCTTTAAAAACACAGCTACTAGATTTTTGAACTTCACTCAGCTGTGGTAAACTTGACTTTAATGGTAAATGTTTTGTTATTCTGTCTTTGGTCAGTCTTCGGTGTCAATCTCTGCTATACCTAAGGCTTTTCAAACTGAAAAAGGAAAGTGCATTGAAATATTCTAAAACTCTGACTGAACATCTGAAGGTAATTGCATGCATCTTTTCTTAACATATTAAAACCTAATCAAATTAAAACTCTACATCACTTAGAATTCCTGAATCCAATTTTCAGACTGCTACACGTGAACTTGGAATATACCCTATTTAGAACTGGACCTTGAAAGTGTATTAAATTCGAGTAGTTTAAAGCTGGGAAGAGACAGCATGGCTGTCATAACCCTACTGGTCCTAGCATGATAGCTCTTGATTAATAATTTGATCTAGCTTTTATCTTCTTTAATAAATTTAGTAGGCTTCAAGGAGAATTTAAAATTGTTTTTCTTGCTGCAGATATAACAAGCTGAAACTTCACTTTCATGTTTAAGCTTAGGGGATTTCAGGATCTAGGGGTGTATTACGTTATGTGGGCTGCAGCTCTTCAGCCTTCGCAAAAGCTGGCGCCAGAGCCAACCTCTAATTCAAAACCAAATTGGTCTTTTCTGAGTTTCTGTTGTTTGCAGTGGGAGGTTTGATTCCTGCCCACCCCCGTGAATTTATCTGAATTCCTCTGCAACTGATGTAAACGTGCTGTCAGGGAAAGGAGACCAAGAGACACATCCTTTGAATTAGTTTATTTGAATCAGGATGTTGCAGATGAGAAAACCAGTTTTGATACTTCTGTAATGTTAGTCAGTGCTGAATCTAGACAGATTTTCAAAGGAACTCTTGGGAATAGACAGCTAATGTCACTGGGTTTCTCTGAAGCTTCCAGCTGTCAATACTGAGAGGAATCGGGCTTGCCACGTGCCCGACTTCTCGGAGTTTTGAGACACCTTTAATTGCTCAGTACTAGTAATAACAGAGATTTCCTCCTGTTAATGGGCAGAAAAGCCAAAATGTTATCATAAGAGGCAATGGGACCTGATGATTAGGACAACAGACTACTCCAGTCCTATATATGTGTATATATATATTTGGTGGCTGCCTTTGCGTTGCTGAAATAATCCTTTAATTTGTGTCTTAGTCATCAGTAAAAAAGGGTATTTTCCGAATTTTAATTTACTTTGATATTATTCAGAATTTTGGTTATTGCTTAAAAGAAAAACTACAAAAATTGATTTGATCAAAAATAACCAATTAAATAACCAGTTAAAGTATAACTAGTTAAAGTATAAACATAAATCAGGTGACAAATTTGTTTTTCCCCAAACAGAATTCCTATAATAATTCTCAAGCACCGTCACCTGGTATGGGAAGGTAAGTTGTAAAAGCTGTTACCTGTATTTCTCAAATTCTAGTTAGTTTTCTATGTAAACAGTGTGCCTGGGGTGCTCAGAGGGTAGCTTTTCACTCTTTAAAGTGTGGGGTTGGTTGTTCTAAGGGTGTAGATTTTGGTTCAGTTGCTTGCGTAATTATTCTGACAAAAGGTTCGGAACACTGCTGCTTGTGACAGTGCTCTGCAGAGGGATTGTCAGGCAGCTCCTTGTTGCAAAAAAAAGAAAAAAAGGGGTCAGTGTGTCACTAACACACAAGTCACTTATCTCAGTGAGTCGTCTTGTTTTATTTAATGCTTTTTCCCTCAAAAAACCAGCTTTATTCATGCTGCAAGCCCAGGCGGCTACAAGTACTTTCAGGGTTGTCTGTTCTGTAGTCCGGCAGCTTGCTTCTACTCTTTAAAGCCGAGCAGTGGCCTTTGATAGATGGCTCTGAGTTTAAGGAAGGCGTTTCGGATTTCCGCCGCGTTACCTGAAAGTGTAATATGGCAGTATAGTTACTACGGAGTTGTAATGTTTTCATTATTATTCTTTAAGGTTCAATTTATTTAAGCAACGAATTTAAGATTTTATTGAATTAAAAGATGATGCGGTTTGCTGATTAGGTTTTAGCTGTGAAGCTGAAACATAAGAGTTGGAGGATCCTCAGCAGTTGTTACCAGCTCATGGATTTTATTAGTTGCAGGGCAAATCCTGACTTTTTAATGTGTAAAGTGGGAGCGCTTCAGCATCTCGCACCCTGAGATGCGTGAAGAGAGGTCTTAGAAAGTAGATTAGATTAATATCTTAGATATTAATAATATA